CAAACCATCTTATACAACGTTTTGTTTTTGCCTGCGTTTTGCCTCACTGGCTTCATGGGTCCCTTGTTATCTTCCCTGGTCGTTTTATCAAGGACCTCAAACTCATTTCCCGATCCCTCAAATTTCCGTCAGTTTGTGGTCTCATACCACGGGACACGTCTGGTACAGTATATGGTGGCACATCTCATCAAATCCTGTAAAATATTCTCTAACAATATTTGATCTGATATTTCCCATTCGTTTTATTCCACCGTCAGTCAGGGCCTTTCTCACCCATCCACCCGTTCTATTCATAAAACTAATAAAGACACGCACGGAAGCGTACAGGCGGTCCATTGTCTCTTATCTGGCCAGATTTCGAACAAACCATGAAATCATTGCAGCAAATCTGCGTAAAACCCTAAACTAAATTGATCATAACTACCCTGATATGTCGTTGGTTTCTGATATTGCTGTTCTTTTTCACGTCCTTTAATAGCTGTATCATATTATTATTTCTTTTTCACTTTTTGTTGACACATTGGGATTATGTGGTTGCTGAATATCCACCTCTCGAGGTGCATAAAGCCGTTCCTTGACTTGACTTGACTTAGTCCCGAAATATGTTAACACTTGATCAAACAATCTGTTTACCCAAGATGCAGGTCACCCACCGTCCCAGGATACTGATATCCGCATTTTACCTCATCTTGATACGTTTCCGCCTTGTTGACTGGTTCTGTAACGACACTGAAACTGAACGAACCAAGGATAGTATCAGCATTGCTGATGGTCCCTATTTGCCAATTACTGTCTAGGCATTAACCTGGTGAATAACGTAAATACTGACGTGAAGCAAGGCAGAGAGTCAAAGGATACAAGAGAAAGTCTATGACCCACACGAACCTTGAGTCCTTCGCTCCCAATATGTGTTACCTTGATAACGCCATATATTGATTGATTACTATGATAAACGCTCAGTTGCGGTAACCGAATTCGTCTTTTGTATGTTTAAGTACTGATGAGAGAATAATCTATCTCGCGGATCCCCGTACGTACCACTTGATTTCTGCACCGACGTCACAGTTCCAACCTCATTTATACAGACAGAAGTGTGCCTTGTTTTATTTTCTCAACCGATCTGTTGATTCATTTATACAACATGACGGTTCTGAATTTTGATCCACAAAGTTTAATTTTGCATTGATTTGTTTTCCATGTTCCATGGTAGTTAAATATGTACTGGTAAGTCCACCGTGACATCTTTTCACCAGATTAAAAAGTGTGAAACAACAAATTACTTCATATTATCCTTTTCCCCCTTTTTTATTTTAATTCGTTTTATTGAATATCCAATGGTACAATTTTGGGGAAGGGGTAAGGAGTCATACAAAACCCAGAGCATGGGAACGTCAGTCGGTGATGATGAGATTCCAACACACGTCCTCTTGGGGGATAAGTTGGTCACGTTAACACCGTGCGAACACCGACCAGTTTGCAGTGTAAGAGTGGTTTCTATATAGTGGTTGTAACTGTGCATCCGGGAACGATCCCATGTCTTATAATCGCTGGTGTGCTCACCAAAAACAACTAATCGGTGCTTATTCGTGTCATGATTGTGAATGTCAAGTCGCGGAGAGTTATATCTGGTTAGAAAGTCAGTTATGTTTTTCAGGTCAACAGATGTAATCTGCACCAAACAAAATTAGATTGAAACATCTGCTTGAAAATCAAGCGCTGTCTTTAGGCTTTTTGTTTGTGATTACAGCGCTCCTCACGCACTCACATCCGATTTGGTTGGAGTTTTTTTGTTTTGCCAAGTTTCAGCACAGTCAATCCATACGAGAACAACGACTTTGAATCGGGACGAGGACGCGCGTGATGGTCTAGATCGTTGACCACCCCGGGAAAGCATTGAACTTTGGACCTCACGCAAGCAGTGCGCTAATTAGGCCATCAGATAGATGGTGGTCCGAGTGCAAGCTTTTCTCCCACGTGAGTCAAACTAAGGTTGTATGCTTCAGCAGTCCTCAATCCAACATTATAAAAATATTGTTCGCTGAAATCCGACCGAAGTGAAGCTTTTCAACTGGTCCTCTTACTTAGTTATCGTTCTCCTGGACAGACTTTGAGTTCACCTCGGAGGACGGAAAACATAAAATTAGTGAGTATTCCAGTTTGTTTGTATTCCTTATTTATGGATAAAACCGATTTCCCTACCGCAAAATGAATCTTTATATATATTCAAAATTTCCAGTTACCTCATGATATTGAAAACATAGTTTTACCGTAACGAATTTGAATAGAGAAGCCAAAAACCCAGGTTAGCTTATGTATCCTGGATCAGTTCGCTGCAGCTGTACACGTGCATACTGCAGTTTATATGATAATTAGTATAACAGAATAAAAAATAAAATAACAGAACTATGGGCGGAAGATGATTGTGGTTAAAATCACTCACCAAACACATTTTTACCAAGGTAGCACCAGAATGATAAGCCATTCACGTTTTTACAAAGTTTGGGACGGTAATTTTGAATGATGATTGCCTCGACGTATTTCAAAGCGTTGGTGTTGCTTGTGTATTTGAGGATTCCGAACACGTCGCGCATCATGACACAGGTGTTTCATTTTCATTTTATGTGATCGACGAACTGAGTTTCCTACGTGTCATCAGTGACGTCATACTTCTGNCTTCTGAGGTTTACACTCACTGTTTCCTGAAGCCAGACCGGGATAGGTTCGGTTACTCGGTAACGCAGTTATCTCACCGTTCTTCCGATGGAGATCGCCGAGCATCCTAACTTGAACTGATAGATACAAATAGGTGTAGCGTGGGGAGACAGAGGTTCTTGCACCGAGGGTGTTGGCAACCGGGCGGTTGTGAAAACAACGATGGGATCATCTGCGCAGTAGGTGCATCTAAAGACCGATTTTAAGCTCTTAGTAATCAACCAGGTGAAGGGCAGTGGCAGGAGTGCTCTCATCTTACCTGCACTTGGTGTCCTTTCCTGTGAACAGTTGAACTGGGATTGGTTTGAGATGAACCTAATCGGACATCCGTTAGATTGTAAAACGTTTAATCTTGTCATATTCGTTATCCAGGGTATCCGCTGTGCAAATCTGCCGAGCCCTGTAGGAGAGGGCTTCAAATGGACCAATTTTATATCCCATTGGATCAAAGCTAGCAACTTGGAGATGTTATCCAGACCATGTATCCTTTTGGTTCACAGATCTTCTGATTGATCAATCCGTTCCACGTGAAACTTACACATCCAGCGAGGCGATGCCGTTTTGTATTTCGGTGTGGCGTGTGAACGTTATGTTAGGAGGAAGAGTTCAACTGGTCTCTCCTTGTCTTCCTTTACATCACAGATGATAAATAGGTCAAAAACATATCGTCAGTATACTTTCAGCCCTTCAATTTTGTCTCACAATGGATGTTCTTGATGTAAGTAAGAATGAACCACAGCGGACTGTTCATAGCGACTCCATCTATCTGTTGCTATCGTTTAACCAAGAAAAGAGCTTCACATTATCCGAGCACAACAGTAAAAGCCGTTCCAGCTCATCGGCTGGTGGTCCAAAGTGAATGTTGTTTTCTTCCATAATTTGAACAATAATCGCAATTGTCTCCAGTATAAGGACGTTGATGAAAAGTGCATTAACACCCCGAGTAACCATATGCTTGTTTTGAATGTTTCTGTCTTCTAATATTGGGCACAGTTGAAAGCGGTCGTTCACATTGTAGTGGGAAATAGATTCTCGCATTGGCTTTATATGATAACTCTCTTATGATTTGTTGGAAAACGAACGCCTGTCTTAGGTAGTGTTTAATTGTGCAACTACAACAATGGGATCTCTATCCACCATTGTTACCCGTGATTTTTCGACTACCAGCAAAGTCCATACACTGTTCATCCAAAAGAAGAATACCACGTCCATTAGTAGGGGTTAACGAAAACAGATTTTAACTTTCCAACAAACACACGCGTTCACAATCATCTGAAGTCAGTTTTAATGTATCCGGAATTTTTAAATATGGTGAATTTGATCGCAAATAAAGCAAATGAAGCGTGAACTGTGAAGGTTGTCAAACAGCGGACAGTTATTCCGATCTCGTTTTGGTTTAATCCTCGGTCCGAATCCACTTAAGCATAAAGCAAGCAAGCAGGCTACCCACTTGACCCCAGAACCACTGACTGGACCGGTTTCAGTCTTGAAACATTCGGACCCCTTTATCTAATTGATTAGAATGGAGAGAAGACAAATACTGTGAGATGTTACAATTTGAGCGACTTTGGTTGTTCGAGCCTTTGTTACATAACATGAATCGAAGGTTCTTAACCTTCAATGAAATAATGTAAACAAGCCGAACATAATTAGTTTTGGAGACAACGTAGTCTTCTGTTAAGGGTGTTAAATGTGATAGAGAGTTTCCACACTGTGGTAATTGTGTATATTAGTAAGCAACTTATACGATTATTGCGTGAAAGAACATGTTGCTTTATAAGCGAGGTACCGAGCTAGAATGAAGGAGTCTAACTGTTCGCACACTGAACAAACGTGAGGGTCATGAATGATATGTGAGTAGGGTTAGGAAGAGCACAGATGGAAACTTGGTAATTGGCCTCGGTTAGCCCGGTAAAAGAGGTTCGCCCCGAAGAGATTAACCGATTCTCCTTTTGGAATTAACGGTGAAGATGAGCTGATGCTTAGGAAGGTCTCACATTCAGTTTCAGTGACTAGAATTTCTATTGCGGCCAGGTTTTCACTTCAAGCTATGTCATTCATTGTTTTTAGATTATTCAATTCTTTTGTTGTTTTTCTCAATCCCAGAAATTTCTGGGAATCAAAGTTTATGGTGAGATATTCGATCTAGTGTGAACCACAAGATGATAGAATTTGTGACTATGCTGAATTTACTATACAATGAAGGAACACACAGAGCAATTGATCCAAATAATTTAACCTTGGATTTTGTTAGCAAATACATTCTGATCACTCAGAAACAAAACAGTTTATTCCGCCTCCCGGATAGCATGAATAAACTGTAATTCCATGTCATCATGATACTTGTCAGCCGTATTCTCATCCACTGTGTAGCTATCATTCTGATGAAAACTATCCTAATCACGGTAAACTTTATTATCCCCCTCTTTATCGTAATTATAATTCAAATTATCAGTAGTGTTTCATCTGCCATCAGCATGAGAGCCATTATCCCGGTTTTCATCATCAACATGATTTGATTGGTTATCAGGCAGACAACAGTGTCCCCGTGGAACACTCCTGATCCCGTTGGTGGGGTAGTTCAATGCGACGACCCTTCGTATTTTTTTCCAGCATGACAGAAGAGCTATCCTCCACGGTTTGCGAACAATTCAAAACCAAGAAACCCTGAATGGATCAGACAAGGGGAGCTTGGAAATATATCGTATAAAAGCATTGATCCATTCGTACAAGGTGATAACCGTTTACCGTATAGCTCAGTGATAAGGGTTTGAAGTCCCAGCCCGAAGAATCGCAGTTTGAGTCCTGACAAAAACACAAAAATACGCACTACTGACGAGTCCCGAACAGGACGAACCAGTTGTCTAGTGCTCTTTGTTGGTTATCCTGAACATTTCCCTCGCACTAAAATGCATACGAACAGTGGGGAATTAACAATCTCCCAAGGAGTGAAACCCACATCGAACATCATCAACAGTGCCTGGTGTCTGTGAGAAAACCGAATGGGCTGATCTAAACATTCACCATCTAAATCGTGTAAAAGCGTTTAACATGCTTTCCATTTGAGTTGTCATTTGGGCGGTCAATTTTTTGGTTCCAGTCAGATAATACCAGTTCTCCAAATATCTACAGCCCTGTTCATCAAGTGGGTTGATCCACTGTAAGCATTTTCTTATAAAGTCTACTGTTTGCTCACTCGTAGAAAGCGTATTCCAATCAACTACATGTACAAGACTGACTAACGGTTTGGAAGTGAAGTATTTCCTCATTGATATGCTTATGACTTTAATCCATCCAAATTAGACTTTCTTGTTTGCTGAGTCTCAGATCTTCAATTGCAACTTTCTACCAGCTCAGTTTGACATACTTTTCCCAGGTATTACAATTTCTTTCCGCTTATCATTTCCCATTGTTACGGGATGAACAGGTATAATTTGGAGTTATGGATTGTCAAATATAGTTATTAGCATCAATTGATCTCTGAGGGATCATATGACACTTCCTATCAATCACATTTTGGCCATATATAAATGACTTCCGAATATCACGACATTTTAAACTTAGAAAAATGAGTAAGTTATTCTCACTTTGATTCACTTCATCAACGCTAGTGTACAATTTGCATTCCCGAAAGGGACTGTGGACAACGGAGAGCAACTAATCCATGGCATCCATTAACCGACAAAATCTGAGTTACTGAACCTTCGTTTCAATTCAGTTTTACAATCGAACGGCCATCAACAGATTAAACGTCTATTCGATTTGTCCGAATCTGTCCATACAAACTGCCAAAAATGCAGTTGTATAATTGTCAGTGTAAAACTACAGAAAAAAACGGTATCTAATGACGATTTCGGATATCATCCTATGCAGAACTTGAATGAGTAAAGGCATTTTCCTCGCCCGGATCTACGAACATATCTGCCCCGGATTCCCAGATTTTGACTTACCCGAATGAACTTCTCCTCGTTCTTTTTCTGGTAGATCAATTGTTCCTGAAGTAAAGTGACTCGTTCTTTGTAGAAAGTCAGTTCGTTGGCAGCTCTGAGCAATTTCTTTTTCATGATAACTGCGATAAAGGGAAACGGGCATAGAACACCATTTGTATAACTGCACATTACAAGTGATAAAACATTTAGGCGGAATGAAACCAGGCAAATTTGCAAAACAATGGCTATCAGTTATCCTGTCATAGTCCGAGAATAGGAGTACAACTCGATCGTACAAAACAGTTAATTTCCAGGGTGAACAGAATTACCAGGATATTGTACATCAAACTTGTAGCTAGATCAGCAACAGAGGAATGATCTCATACAACCCCGAGGTCACATTTCTCCTTCTTCTTCATCTTCGAAATACGACTAACCCAACAGGTGATTTAAACCGCATGTCACTACTTCCCATGGTCTCCAAGATGGGGCAACACATTGAAAATCAGGACAGTGGGTTATCAAATAGAAATACATCTTGAATCGCTACTCGGCTCTCGCCTACACAATCAAAGAAGTGCTAGAAATAGATCACTTCGTGCAAGTTAAACAAAATGACGAGGAAAGGAACAGCATCGTTACATATCTCGTTACTTTAACTATTTTCAAGGAAGAAATATTAGTAAAACATGATTTAAAACTACATTCATCCTCCACTGCTTATTTTGATGAATTATCTGGTTTTCTACTTTGGCGACTTTGTCATGAGCCCAGAGGTTGAGGCCATCGCTAGGTGTGGTTAAACACCCACGATAGGCCTGATTAAATGAGTTAAGCTGTAGCATATATACATATGTATACATAAAGACTAAATAATAAATCATTTATCCGCTGATCTGTAGTTCGGTGGGCTGTACATGCTTTCATTCTGCCCATGAGGTCCTCGGTTCTGTCCATAATTGGGTATATAGAAGTGAACTTTGTTGAAACGCTACCGAGCCTTCCGCTTATTGTTTTCGATGCTGCGCACTTTACACAATTGGCTTTATCTCTAATTCTTGATCAACCAATGCAACCTGAACCAGGCCAAGTAGTTTTTAACTTATCTTCCCCTGACATTCACTTTTTGCAGTTCACTTGTTAACGTACGTTGTGCAGAAACACTGAAAGACGGTTACCCGTCAAAGAACGCTTCGATAAACGTCGCGTTCTGTGACTTAGAAATGCCCTATTGGTTTACCAAACTCACAGGGTGGTTCATTGGTAAACAGTCGTGTTCAATGTCTCATCTACTCCCCCTGTACGCACCGCACAGAGAGTGATAGGTCGAACGGTTAGAATAATCGCTGTGGCCGGTTCAATATGGACTCATTTAGCTAGTCATTTCCGTGTATGACCTGTACAGAAGAGTAGTTGAATCATTGGAACAACTGTTCACCTTTGAAAGAGTGCTTTCGTGTCATAATAGACACATCTTTTAAAATCCGAAATCAATGTATCAATCTAAAGCAACTGTTTTTGGATAATAAAGCAAGCGTGGACAGTTTGGTTGTCAAGTTCTGTTTTGATCGTGGAGATTCAATGTTACCAAGTGCAGCTCGGCTAATGCATTAAGCGTTTATGACGAATCTGACCCCTCTCCACGATCTATATTCATTAGATTGTCCCCCTGCCTAGCTATTGCTTCAATTTTAGTCCAGGCTTTCAGTTTGCTCGAGTCGAACGTTTCCTTGGATCTGAAGTTATGTGACTATTGTGATCCAACTTACGAGTGAAACTTTTCTACCCGACAGAGGATATCACGCGGAACGGTTGAACTGAATGCATTCAGCAAGAAAGATTATTGCTGGTCTTATAAATTATTAGATTTACAATGGTTCACAAATCTCAGCACACGTTTCCTATGTGTCCTTCAATACAGTTACTATTTTATGTAAGAAGATGTCTATTTAGCCTCCGACACTTCTTATGAAGCACTATTTTATCGGCACCTCAACTCTCATAGATGGTTATGAGCAATAATGGGAAAAAATAATCCTTGATTGATTTAGACCGAACATACTTAGAACGACATATTTACATCACGTTTTTGGTTTATATAAACAGTCCTATATTCATAAAGCCCCACAGATTCAAGTTTCACTACGTTCAATATTATGCAAAGGGCATATCGACTGCCGGATTCAGTCAAACTGAATTCCACAGGCCTCTGGTACAAAGTGTGTTTCTAACAGCTCAACTAGGGGTGTACAACAAAGTGTTATCAAAAATAGATTGTTCGAATGATGTGCAATGGAAGTAAGAAGTCAAAAGTTCGAATTTATCATTGTTGTTGTTATTGTTGCCAAGTCACATGTTTTAAATTACTTGCTGATAGCGTATTGACGTAATGGAAACACATTTAAAATGCAAGTGGTCCAGGATTCGAAACCTAGTCACCTCGAATGTGAGAAACTCAAGTCGGAGACTCCCGAGATTTAAGTGAAGATTGAGTTCAAAGAAATAATGTCAACATCAATGAATAACAATATATCATCAACCAGTTTCTACTAATGTGAAATTAGCATGTTCAGGTCCGTGGTTCAGGTCCTGACAGCACCACAAAAGTATGCACAGCTGAAGCGTCCAAAGCGGGACGAAACAGCTATCCAATGCACTACGCTGGTCAATACCAATATTTCCGTAGCACACGCTTTGTTCAAAAATCTGGTTTTTCGCGATGGATATTTAATTCTCGTTCAGATTATGCTAAGAGGTATCTTTTAGCTAGATTGAATCACATGGTTTTCGGTTAGAAAAGATAATATCATAATTGAATTAATTAATTAATAGTAAATTGAAGCAGAACGTTTTCCTACTAACAGTGTAAGGTTTTTTTGTATATTTCATTGTTTGTTTGTTTTTGTCTATTTATACCAAAAAAAGAACAAGTAATCGGTAAAAAATACCAAAAGCAGATAGTTTGTTGATCATGAGAAAACTTGCATCCCGGCAATATGCTATATTTTAGTTTAACCGACCGCTCTGGCTAAAGTGATCTCGTTGTATTACAAATAAACTGGTAGTACATTCTAATTGCTTTTCTCCAGAGCACCAGAAATCCACATTGGTTTGGTCTGAACACACGAAACGAAATGTACAAATACACCTTGTTCAAAGTTGGCAGAATGCCGCCCCGATTTGGTTCAGCGTTATTTATTTTTCCCATAAAAAGTGTGAAAAGTACTTTTGATTTATTGTTTATTAATTTCCCCTCTCCACCCATACCCCCAATTGCGCTCGCCATTTGGCCGAACAGAATTCAGATCACATGACTGAATCGCATCCGCTGTCGCGCAGGGATCTAATCAGGTCCGTAAATCCGATCGATGAATGAATGGATAAAGACGTAACGATTGTAATCAATCCGTGTCGTTTAGTGAGCATTTTAAGAAAAATATTCATAATTTAAAGTTTCAACAGAAATGATTCAGCATGTCTAGTAAAACGTTTTGAATGCACTTTTATTAGTTAGACATACAGGGATTGGTCAAATTCGTGCAACACTCTGAATATTATTATATATATATATATATTTCTTCCGATACTTACTGTTCCCAACTTCATTCACGGGATCGAATAAGAAATTGCCCCACAACAAACGCATTTACCCAGTTATACTAACATCCACTTCTGTGTTTGCTTCTTCTAGAAGAATGTCATCCAAATATACGATTTCCCGATTTTGATGATGATTACTTGCGCACCAGTTGTAAAATATCAAAGCCACTTTAAAAAATACATAATTGGAATTTGTTTATCCAAATGGCCGATGAACTCGATACCCGTATTGTACATTCATCTTATCCATGTTCTATTTGCCTTTCTTCATTTCTGAGCCCTGGAGCCTATCGCTTTGCATGGAGTCTACCAAGTTGACTGCCAAACAGAATTTGTCATATCCCTCTTATCCAGGCGGTACCCATACCACTGACGACCACTCTCGAGGCAGCTAACTTAAATTTGTTTCTGACGCATGCAAATGTTGACGATTACAATCAAATCCGAAGTGTCGGATAGTAATTGAATGAATTTGACATTGGTCTTGACACCTCCGGAAACTACATAAGTGTGAAAAATAATAAATGATCAGCTCCAACCAACCGTCTTATCCGCCTCAGACTATTCTTCAAATTGATTGTGTGCAACCTTTATCCATTGTGATCAAAATCTACCACTGTTTCCTTCGATATGATCGGTCTTCTATCTCTTGGTTTATGTTGATTGCGTAATAAAGCATTTGCCCATGTCAGTAAATGAGTCATTGGATTTATGTACTTCTGGATTAAGGTGCCTCTCGTCACTAATTATGTATCAAAAGTTTTGCATATTTCATGGTGACACCACAAGAAGATTATTCAATGAGCCGTACATATCAAGGTCAACTTTTATGTTTCTTGGAATATATGTTTAGTTATTTCAGTATTAGGGATAATGCGCGAGTAGTTTGTAGCCATTTATCAATTCATCAGTTTATTTGAGCTATGAAATTTTCAATAATCGGCTTACCTGCCGTGCACTGAATGAAAAAAAAAATAATCTATTTCGAATACGTCTTCAACCCAGTCAACACTCAGATGACAAAGGACTCATTTATTACATAGAAAGAATCTATATGTTAATTTGCATAAAATATTTTCCAAATCTGAGCTGTAATTTTCGAAATGGTACAAATTGTGTGGTGACACTCAAGGTCTCACAAACTCAAACGGTGATGGAAGAGAAGTAAAAACAATTTCAGGCGAACAATTGTTCTCTATAACTCATAATCATACCCTTACAGTTTATATATGAAGAGAAACAAACCTAGCAGTTGGGAGGAGAACAATAAAATGTGCGTCATCCTTCACTTCATATATGCATATATGTGTGTGTTGCACACCGCATTCTCAGGTCTGTGCGGCCTGGGTTTTCAGTTATTTCACGACGATCGTGTGACCCAGTTCTGAGGGATCGATGTTGTGTAAAAATGTTTGTGCGCGGGCAGGGGGCAGGTGTGGTTTCGCGAACCCAGGGGAGACGGGTAGCTTGGATAATACGCTTCTGGGCACATAGTTCGGGGGTCCAATGCGTCTTACAGATGGCCTCGGCTATGGCCAACGAACGCATACTAATGCATTTGGACCGGTTCAGGGGGACCTGATATATAATGCACAATGCTTCACTTGGGTTAACACGATGGCCAGTGTCTACCATGTGTTGGTTCCGGATCTATCACCAGTGCGATTCTCGCTTACACACACACACACGCATGAAATGAATGATTCCAGACATGTTACTGTTCTCATTCCAAACACGAAGGTTTTCCCCCTCACATAAACTGTAACGGCATGATTATGAGTTATTGAAAATAATTGTTTGTCTGAACTTGTGTTCTAAATGCGAATACGGGTATTTTTTGAAATTTAGAAATAAGATACAATCAGGAATAAATAAGCTTTACCACAGCCATCGATATGCAATTATGATATTGGAGACTGAAATGGATTTACGGAATGAGAGTGATCTTGCACGAGTTTGATCACCACTTGGATGAGTGTGTTTCTTTTATTGTGTGAATTTTATGTTGGTCAATGAATAGCCAAATCCGTTTCTTTTTCGTTGAATGACAATAAGTCCATAGTGTAAAACTCAGAATTGCCTGCTGACAATGGGACAACTGGTCAATTGGTGAACTTTAAATGTTTTTGTGCCGTTCAGTGTATCACTGAGTAATGCTGTACGGAATTGAGATAAAACAATACACATTGGCTTCTCCTTCACAAGGCAGTTTGCCATCGATTGGTACGGGGAACGTGTTCGGTAGTTACAAATGCAGGTGAAGTCACGTGTGCAACCGACTAATTTTCCCTTATTTTCATTTTGCGGTTCCTTGCTATCATTTTGTTGTCTTATGCGGTATTATCGTCAGACGCAGTAAGTTCAAAATGCAAGTTGTGTCTCAGTTGTGGGATTTTCCGTTCAGACAATGTCCAGAGAAGCATGACCATCATTGTCAAATTAAAAAATAGGTTTATCAAGTTCAGGTACATATTAATTAATTCGAGATGAACCAAGCCACTACTATCATAAAGATAAAGCATAACTATACACTGTGAATGTAATACATTCATTCTTGACACAATCAACAGTCAGGTGACCTGTCGCTGTTTGTATGAACAGCTGTATCAGAATGACTACACACTACTTCTGCAGAGACACATGAGTGGTTTTGGTGTGGCTAAACAAAACAGTAATTCCTTTGCATATATGAAGGTGCAGAAAGAACCCTGGAACCAATAGTGTCTCCGGGAAATTTGGTCAGTTCAGCGATTTTCACAGTAATCATCATCGTAGTTTGACTTTTAGAGGAATGTGAATTAATTTCGTTCATCTATGCTTCAGTATGCCCCTACACAACTGCGAATTTTCACCCCGTTCGCTTGACACTTGTTTGTATCATAGCTTGACAAAGATCAAAGACTAAAAAGTTATAATGGGAATAACTTACAAGATCGTGCTTTTCTCGTCCCATAGATTCGTGTTGTGGTTAAAAGAGAGTGACACATACAGTACTGGCCGACTGTGTTGTACTAAAATGTTTTCTTCATGATCAAATAGAGTTTCAATATATTTATCACCCTTATTAATGCTTCAGATTTAGATAATATTTTATATCTTGTCTACTTCGATCTACATACTGCTAAATATCCACCTTTCGGGGTGCATAAAGCAAATACTTGACTTGACTTCACTTCACGTAGTTTCTAGGCTGCATGAGTGTCAATTAAACGCACCTGACCTTGAGTGTCAAGATTAAATGATCTAAACATGAAAACCACAAACTGTCTCTGGTATCACAAAGCAATATTTTCTGATAGGGATGACTACTTGCATAAAATGTCACATGATGCAGGATTCTTCTCCTACTGTACGCAAAAGCACTTACGTTGGAATGTTGAGTATACTGATGGTTCATCAAGTCTCAGTTTGAAAGACTCAGTGCTTGACGCACACAACCTGAGGTGAGGGAGTTTCAGATCGAACATATTCCAACTGCGAATGACCGACACCGGTATTCTAATCGGCATTTTAAGACCGTTATTTTCAACGGATGTTTGATGATAATTATTGCAGCAGGTGACATAGATGGCTTGGGTTTTGCATTATTTAGTACACCATAACCATATCTCTTCTGATGCGCTGGCAGGGATTGTAATATAACCCCAACGACTCCAGTCTCTCTGCGTACGAACAACGATTCAACCTCCTAACCATTTTGGTGTTCATCCTTTGTGAACGTTCCGGCATTTTGCAATCACCTTGCAGCCATGGATTCCATGCATGAGTGACGTACTCTCTGAGTGGGCGAATGTGTGCTGATAGTAGACGGGGAAAAAGAGCTGACTCAAACCGGTCAAAGATCCACCTAAGGAAACCGACATTCTTTACAACTACGTTCGACACCTTGGCTCAGTTGATTGAGCAGCTTCCGTTTTCTTGAATGATGATGATGAGGCATTTGGCAGTTGCTCATTCTTGAGGAAATAAGAAAATCGCCCTTGCGTCGCAGAGATAGAACCTTACACCTTGGCACATTGCATTCAATATCGTTCAGAAAAGAACAGTTATGAGCTGCTTTACACCGTTCTTGGAGTGCCAGCGATCCCGCTGATTGCGTTACTGTATTCTATATCATGGCTTCATCTGCAAACAGTAATGATTTTGGCTCCAGAGTCTTCGTTAGGTCGTTCATGAATGCTAGGAAGGGTCACGCATCCTTGTGAAAACCCCACATTATCGTACAAATCCTAATGTTTAGCTTAATAGGAGCAGGTAAATTTAGTAACCAATACTGGTATTTACACGGTTAAACGTTTTTTAACTGAAATATATACATATGTATATATAAATGTATGTATGTTTATATATGTATGTATAAATGTAAATTTAAAGTCTGCTGCTTTCACCTCTTCCCATCAATAATGGATGGATTTCGTGTTTGTGGGCACGTGACGGTATCGGTGTCATGAATCGCATCTCTTTCCTCTATTCCGTTTTTCAAAGTATACTAAAATACACTTCATTACTGTGTGTTCCCAAAACATGATCAGTATGTGACTTAGGACTTACTCAAAAGGAAATCATACTCAAATTAGTGCATGGCAAAGAACAGATGTTTCACACACTAACGGGTTAGTACTCATGAGTAGTCAAACATCTAATTCAGCTTGAATTGCAATGTTGAACTCTGCGATTGCCGAGCAAACTGATCCATAATAATTTAGAAAAACACCGTTTTACCTTTACAAAAGAAGGACTTACTTAGCAGATTGAGCGCTTCTCGACGATTAACCGGTACATCACGCAATGCCTGCTCCCAACCGGGACCTAGAGCATCTAGTCGCAACCAGTCCCAGTTGTTCAGATTCACCGGTGATGTGGGTCTCATCCCATTGTATTCTATATCGGGAATGGCGCCAGAATCGC